TAACATACAAACACGTTATTTCAAAAAAATGTCTAATTCATCACAAAGTGATTGGGAAGTTTATAATAGACGTTTATCACCGAGCTTGTAGCCGGATACTATTAGACGTCATCAACAGCATATGGAACAAAATCCGGTATATAGTCCGGATGCACAGCCCTTTGAACTATTAACAGAGGGTTATAACAACAGGCTCAGAAATCGCGCCCTGGTAAGTTTATATATTTTAAAAAACAAAACATAAAAAACAAATCCCAATATTATTTAGAACCGAACTGGAGATAGCGGCTATTTAACAAGTCCGGAGTCACCCATAATATTGATGGATTATTGGGAGCGATATTTTAATAATCTAGCTTCTAAAACTTTTAAATCTAAACGTTTACATTCCGAGGCCCTAGAATTGAAGAACGTTCACTAGACCTCGCTGAAACACTGATTTTAAATATAATTTGTAGAATTAATATAATTTCGTCTTGATATATTATACGATATTATATTCTCTAAATATCCATATTTGTATTATGGGGACACGAATATAGAGTATTTACAAACGAATAAGGCACATCAGTTTGGAAATACGTGGTATGAAGCACGGGACGACGCATCGAACGGACATGGTCAAGACAGTCGAAACGATTAGCTATACACCGCGCAGGATCCGCTACAGGGTCGACTTTTTTCGTCTATAATTTATACCTACCCATGTGTGCATATCAATGTACGCGTATACATATCAATACCTGGTGATGGTCGATTTAATCGAGATAATAATGGAAATAAAAATATTTTTTTTTTTTTTTTTACTGTCCCCAGCGTACTCTAATGGCATTCCTCCAGTCCCTGAAGAGCCAGGTAAACAGTGTAAACCTTTCAATCAGTGAACTCGCCAAGGACGTCTCGTACCCGGTCCGCACGATGAAAAATGTGGACACTAAGTTTGGCACCTCTGTGTCATGCGTTTTAATAGATGTTGCAAACACTCAGACAATAAATATTTTCCTGCCTAAAGCCATCAAAATGACAGACGAGGAAATTTCTGAATATAATCTTGGTAGTGTCCCCGGGGTAAGTCTCATATATCGAGGATTAAATAAGAGGAGCTTCATTATAGATTTTGAATGAATTATTTAATAGAGCTCTTCAATATATATATTATATTATTATGCTCATCATTATTATTATTATTATTATTTGTAATAAAAATCATTACAAATATGTTGTTATTCTCATTTTATCTAGATCCTATAATTTTAAGGGTCGTTTAATATAACTATATACATTTAACAAGTTATATAATTATTCTGTCCGAGATGAGTTGGTTTTAAAAAATATATTATTTAAAAATTATTATAAGGTTTATCCTCGTAAATATGAGGTGGTGGTGAAATATTTTATATTTTATATTTATAAGGTTTTATTATTGTATAGTCGATATTTTTATACGCATTTAGGAGACGTATAATATAATTGGATACATTTTATTAAATATTTATAAGGTTTATATTAATAACAATATCGATAAATGTGTTTCTGCAGAAATCCGTTCAGATGACTGACGGGGATATCAATAGTTATAATCTCGGTGCTGTTCCCGCGGTAAGCTTCATATATGGGGGGCTAAATAAAAGCAGTTTTGTAATAGATTCCGAATTAACATTATAAACAACTCGTTCTTCGTCAGGTTTGTAGACACATGAAGGTTCATGGCGTCGAGCTTGGAGCACATGGCGGACAACCTCACCTCCGCGAACTTTGATAAGTTTCGGGAAGTCACGAAACTGTTCGCCCCGTCGGAGATGTCGTTGATCATACGAAAAGGGGTTTATCCGTACGAATACACGGATTCGTGGGATAAATTACAAGTACCATCGTTACCTAATAAGTTTCAATTCTACAGCGCGTTGACGGAGATACACTTATATGATGAAGATTACGATCACGCGATCCGGGTGTGGAATCATTTCGACTGCACAATACTCGGCGCTTATAGCGATCTGTATCTTAAAGCCGATGTGTTCTTAAGTGCCGACGTGTATGAAAGTTTCAGAGAGATAAATGCATGACCACATATCAATTCGACCCCGTACATTACTTCACGTTACCTGGATTCAGTTTTGACTGTATGCTACACTTTACGAAACTCCAACTTTCGCTCTTGAACGATTATGAGAAAATTCTCTTTCTGGAGTTCAATACGCGTGGTGGCCTGATGAAGGAAAGCAAGCGTCACGCGCGGGCCAACAATCCTGAAACGCCGGGATACACTGCCGAAGAACCTAACACGTCGCTCATAAACTTAGATGGTGATTAAAAAATATAAATTTTATGTACGCGTATATTAATCCATGTTTTTATGTATTTATTTAGCAAACAATTAGTACGGGTACGCGATGTGTCAGTATATGAAAATTGGAGATTTCGTATGGTACGCGGGAAATCCAGAGATCACGCTGGCCCAGTTAGAGTGGATGGGCGCGACGGACGTTGGGGGTAGATTTTACGAAGTGGATATAATATACCAGCAGGATCTACACGACGCCCACAACTATATGCCGTTTTGCCTAACGCCAGCATTCCGCATCGTTCGGATTTAAAATATTTAGAATATTTAGATTTACATAATAAACTAGGTACTGAAACAAAAAACCAGAAAAATGTATTATTCCAGTAAGGTATTGAAATTGATAATACAAGAGTTAGTGAATTATATAATGATCGAACGTATACTTTTGGGGATACATATAGGGAAGACCGCGTTCGTGAGCGGTTATCTACTGAGGAGGAGACTTGGTGACATTATGAAAGTATTTTAGTTTTTAAAATATTACTTAGTGAGAAAAGGTCGAAATAAAATCTTTTGTTATACGTCACATACGGTGAGGATTGTCAGCATGATGGGGTGAGCGGTAGAGGGGGAATGTCGTCTTATTACGTGCATGTTAGGGATGGTCAGTTAGGACGTTCCACACCATTGTTGTGTTATAACGTATGCTCCACCATTATTTAAAAATGTTTAATTGCGATCAATGTGATTTGGAATTCGTATACAAGACCAATCTGGCTGCTCACCGAAAAATACATTTAAAATTGATTAAATGTGATCAATGTACTTCAAAATACATTTTACAGCTTTAAGAATACAAGCTTAGAGATTTTTTTTTTCTACAGTCTTAGAAGTAGTGCACGATTATTTCGGAAGCACGTTGGAAAACATGCTTTCTCCGTTATGCGGCACAGAAGCTCATCAAACAAAAAATTGCATGGATTGCAGAAAGAAAGCACGTATGTTTTGTTCTTTTTATAATCTAGAGGGTCAGTGGTTCTGGTTGGAATTCGTCACCGAAAATTTTCGGAGAAGACCTGAATGGCTGATACCTCTATTAGCTAGGTATTCAAGCTGTGAAACTGGAACTTTTATTTGGCGTGTAATAATCTGGTTTTTGATACTGTTTCAGGGCCGAGATATTTTGAAAATCTAGCTTCTAAAACTTATAACTCTAAACGTTTACATGACGAGGACCTGGAATTGAAGAGCGTCCAGATATGAGGTAATTATTGGCACACTTTAATATTCAGAATTTTCCTCCTCAGAATATTTAGATTTACATAATAAACTAGGTACTGAAACAAAAAATCAGAAAAATGTTTTATTCCAGTTAGGTATTGAAATCGATAATACAAAAGTTAGAGCTTTATATGGTGATCGTGCGTATACTTTTGGGGATACATATAGGGAAGACCGCGTTCGTGAGCGGTTATCTACTGAGGAGGAGACTTGGTGACATTATGAAAGTATTTTAGTTTTTAAAATATTACTTAGTGAGAAAAGGTCGAAATAAAATCTTTTGTTATACGTCACATACGGTGAGGATTGTCAGCATGATGGGGTGAGCGGTAGAGGGGGAATGTCGTCTTATTACGTGCATGTTAGGGATGGTCAGTTAGGACGTTCCACACCATTGTTGTGTTATAACGTATGCTCCACCATTATTTAAAAATGTTTAATTGCGATCAATGTGATTTGGAATTCGTATACAAGACCAATCTGGCTGCTCACCGAAAAATACATTTAAAATTGATTAAATGTGATCAATGTACTTCAAAATACATTTTACAGCTTTAAGAATACAAGCTTAGAGATTTTTTTTTTTCTACAGTCTTAGAAGTAGTGCACGATTATTTCGGAAGCACGTTGGAAAACATGCTTTCTCCGTTATGCGGCACAGAAGCTCATCAAACAAAAAATTGCATGGATTGCAGAAAGAATGCACGTATGTTCTGTTGTTTTTATCATCTAGAGGGTCAGTCGTTCTGGTTGGAATTCGTCACCGAAAAGTTTCGGAGAAAACCTGAATGGCTGATGCCTCTATTAGCTAGGTATTCAAGCTGTGACTTCGAATATTTTTTTAGGAAAATATATCACTTTGTGTATCGATTAGAATGTGATAGGGCTCATGCTAACTGGAACTTCTATTTAGCGTGCAGTAGTCTGGTTTTCGATAATGTTTCAGGGCCGAGATATTTTATTAATTTTATTAGCATTTTATAATTGGTAAATCACGGTTTATGAATTAAGATATAAGGTTCTATACATAATATGATAATTGATAATATACCGCCAACATTTCCCGCATTAATTTAAATAATATTAAAATGATTATTTATTGTAAATAACCATAGGTTCCAAATGATTGACTGTATAGTACGAAAAACTTTAATTGTTTTTTTGAAGTATTCGAATATTTACAGATAAATACAATCTTAAATTATCTATTATAATATAGTACCTATATGTATTATTAATATTGTATTGGAATTGCCAGTGATATTTATATATGAAAGGTACATTTTATTTATCTGTAGGAGAACATTTTTGTTCACAGTGGGTATAGTAATAGTGACTCTTGATTATTGAATTAAGTTTTAAAATTATAAAAATTATATTATAAATTTATAAAAATATTTTGTATTATTGAAGTGCAAAGTGTTTTAAAAGTATGGGTAAGACACAATACACCCAAAAGTTCAGGGAAGAATGGCTCACTGATGCACTTTTCAAAGATTGGTTGGTGAAGATCGAACTAGATCGAAATAAAGCTCGATGTAGGTTTTGCAAAACTGAAGTAGTTGCTAAACGGTATGATGTTCTCCAACACACGAAAACCAAAAAGCATATTGAGGCTTCAAATGGATTCGCAACTTCAAGGTCCATGGCAAATTACAGAAAACATCCTTCCTTAAAAACGAGTGATGCAGAAGGTACGTTCAACAGACGTCGAAAGAAGATTTTCAAGGTACAAAACCATACTGGCTGACAATCGGTGATCATTCGACGTAGAAAATATTAAAAAAACATTAGTTGTGCAATGCAATCATTTATCAGTTAAGAAAAAAGTTATTTTAAAACTATTTTTGTATTAATATATTTTATATTTATTTTAAGGATAAATCCAAAATTCGAGATTGAAGAAAACCATACTAACAATCGGCGATCATTCGACGTAAAAAATATTTAAAATAAAATTAATTGTGCAATGCAATGATTTTTATATTTCTTTTATATCTAATTTTTTTATTTTACTAAATTATAATTTAATTTTTTTGTGCATATTTTTCCAATTTTACCTCCTATAACTTCTTTGCCCTAGTCAAATATAATTGGTGTAATAATCGATTTTTTACACAAATAAGCCAAATCTGAGTGATTCTAGACGGGATTAAGCCCAATAATCTGGCTTCAGCTGAAAACTCTGTAGTCGAACGCTGTTGAGACAATACGCTACAAACACAGTGCGTATTTTCATAGTCATACAACGCACAAGGTCGACCCTCTTTGACCATAATATATTAAGCGGTATCGCATTATAATATAATATGTATAATTATATACTATCTGTTCGCGGGACATTGTGTCATTTATTTTACTTCATATACGTATTTAGAATATATTGCATATGTTTACCTCGTAAACCATACAAATTCATATTTTGTATATATCTTAATACTTATATTATTATAAGGGTGGGAGAGAGAAGAAGAGATTAGAATTTTCTATTATTGTTGACGAAAATGAGCGTGATAGCTGATGATATAGCTATAGATTTCCTATAAGTATGTCGTATACCATTATATAATAATGTACTACTCCGAAATTTACCACATTAACTTGGGAACATGGATAAGACAAACATCTGATCAGTATTGGTGGATATAAAACAAAAATATGCCTCATTATAAATAAGTCAATTTGAAACAGCCGCGTTAATACGTAAAAAATCTACCGATTCACGAGAGGATGAGGTGTATTCGAAAATAGGAGAGATTTTAGAAGCCGCATTGTTACATCTATATGAATTTTACTCCATATAGGTAAAAATTTCTCTATATAAGTGTATATTAAATTATGTAATCGTGTAATGCATTTTATTACACAAATATTCGCTTGTATATGTATAAATGTTATATAATATAGGAATCAGGGGTTCTATACATTCACTAGACCTCGCTGAAACACTTATTTTAAATATAATTTGTAGAATTAATATAATTTCGTCTTGATATATTATACGATATTATATTCTCTAAATATCCATATTTGTATTATGGGGACACGAATATAGAGTATTTACAAACGAATAAGGCACATCAGTTTGGAAATACGTGGTATGAAGCACGGGACGACGCATCGAACGGACATGGTCAAGACAGTCGAAACGATTAGCTATACACCGCGCAGGATCCGCTACAGGGTATTAAATCGAATATATTTAATCGAGATAATAATGGAGCAAAAATTGCTACACTTGGTGAAAAGTTTACGAAGGAACTAGCCATAGGTACTTAGTAATATATCGTCGGCTATTTTCATAAATATTATAATATAGCGAGTATACGATGGCATCGGCTATTCTGGATATTCATTGCATACTAGGTCCAAACTCTAAGTATCTGATAAAAAAATGTCTATAGTTGACATAGACAGGTGGGCTAGAAAGCATTGGATTTTTAAGCATCCTCGTTCACGTGAAAATACGTCAAAAGTCCGAACTGTCAACATATGGTTATATCGCAATTATCATCAATTGACTCCGGTTTGCGGTGACGTCGAGTACTCGGAAATAGGCAAAATTTTCAAATCGCTACATTTTCAAAGTATTTTCGTAAAAGGCGAAGAAAAACGGCTGATCATAGAAGATTTCCTCCCCGTTGTAAAAATTCACGAGATGGGCGAGGATTTGGACTATCCACACCTAGACCAACTACATGAGCGGTTAACCGAAAATAACACCGTCAACCGTGCTGTTTATAATATAAGGATTTAAATCATAGACTATCCACGTATAATCGAGTTTTTATATTGTTAAAATGGTTTAAAAATAATACGTGAAAATAATTGTATGGTATATTATATATAATTTCTGTATAAAATATTTCTGAAATAAATGTATATTATATTATATAATAGTGTACTGCGTTTTATTGCACAAATATGTGGGTGAGTGTGTGTATTTATGTATATGCATAAATAATCGATATCCGGGGTTCTACACTCACACAGTCTTACGACCGACCCCGCATTCCTTAACAATTCTTTTAAAAATAATTTGTAGAATAATATAATATAATATATAGCACGATATTATTATATTCCACAATTATATTTATATTATGGGTACGAATATCGAGTTTTGTTCACACTAATAAGCCACATCTGGCGACGGACATGGACGGAGTATGCCAGGCTGCGTTGGTGGCCCGGCGGACACATATGGCCAAGACAGTGAAGGTCAGGCGATCCGACGGACGGACGGATGCACGTGGTCCAGACGACACATTCTGGTATACATCGCGCAGGATCGACCTTTTTCACTGTAATTTACACGTGTGTATATCAATCAGTGTACCCGCTCAATATTGTGCACGCCGAACGATGTAGGTGGGAGTGGCCGTCGATGACAATAATTTTGGACACTTGACCGCTGTCCACTCAATACTGAATCAGTCCTATTTTCTCGCCCGTTCAAAACAGTCCTCTCATTCATATAGTCAATATCGTCCATCAACAAGTTCCAAATATTCATAGACACCACCGTTCAAATAAAGTGAGTTTTATTTGATAATTATTATTTTAATATTATGCAGTCGTATTACACGACTGTAAAGCACCGCTAGATTTCATTGGAGAATTTTTCATATAATATATGAAATTAATAGGAGTTTTATTTTTATTTTGCAGTTCTGATTTCATTCACTCATCTCATTCAACCACGTCAAGCCATCCACAGTTGCATACTGTCTACTATAAATAAAAGTGACTCCGGCTGCGTGCAATCATCAGATAATCACCTCTAACTTAAAGTGGGTTAATTTTAAGTCTAATAAAATAATTAGATATGTTTAAAAAAATTATAAAAATATCTATTCACGCATATCGATATACACGTGTACACGTTTAGATAATTAATTTATTTTTTTTACTGTCTCCAGAGTACTATGGCATTTTTCCAGGTCGTAGCGTAAACCTTTCAATCGGCGAACTCAGCAAGGACTTGTCGTACCCCGTACGCACGATGAAAAATGCGGACGCTAAGTATGGAACCGCCGTGTCTTGCGTATTGATAGATACCGAAAAAACACAAACAATCAATGTTTTCCTACCGAAAGCCATCCGAATGACGGACGTCGATAATTCAGAATATAATCTTGGTAATGTGCCTAAAAAACATCGGGGGCTGCATAAGAGGAGCTTTATTATTGATTTCGAATGAAATATTTAATAGAGCTCTTTAATATAAATATTATGGTCCTTATCATTACTATCATAATTATTATTATTATTATTTGTAATAAAAATAATTACAAATATGTTGTTATTCTCATTTTATCTAGATCCTATAATTTTAAGGGTCGTTTAATATAACTATATACATTTAACAAGTTATATAATTATTCTGTCCGAGATGAGTTGGTTTTAAAAAATATATTATTTAAAAATTATTATAAGGTTTATCCTCGTAAATATGAGGTGGTGGTGAAATATTTTATATTTTATATTTATAAGGTTTTATTATTGTATAGTCGATATTTTTATACGCATTTAGGAGACGTATAATATAATTGGATACATTTTATTAAATATTTATAAGGTTTATATTAATAACAATATCGATAAATGTGTTTCTGCAGAAATCCGTTCAGATGACTGACGGGGATATCAATAGTTATAATCTCGGTGCTGTTCCCGCGGTAAGCTTCATATATGGGGGGCTAAATAAAAGCAGTTTTGTAATAGATTCCGAATTAACATTATAAACAACTCGTTCTTCGTCAGGTTTGTAGACACATGAAGGTTCATGGCGTCGAGCTTGGAGCACATGGCGGACAACCTCACCTCCGCGAACTTTGATAAGTTTCGGGAAGTCACGAAACTGTTCGCCCCGTCGGAGATGTCGTTGATCATACGAAAAGGGGTTTATCCGTACGAATACACGGATTCGTGGGATAAATTACAAGTACCATCGTTACCTAATAAGTTTCAATTCTACAGCGCGTTGACGGAGATACACTTATATGATGAAGATTACGATCACGCGATCCGGGTGTGGAATCATTTCGACTGCACAATACTCGGCGCTTATAGCGATCTGTATCTTAAAGCCGATGTGTTCTTAAGTGCCGACGTGTATGAAAGTTTCAGAGAGATAAATGCATGACCACATATCAATTCGACCCCGTACATTACTTCACGTTACCTGGATTCAGTTTTGACTGTATGCTACACTTTACGAAACTCCAACTTTCGCTCTTGAACGATTATGAGAAAATTCTCTTTCTGGAGTTCAATACGCGTGGTGGCCTGATGAAGGAAAGCAAGCGTCACGCGCGGGCCAACAATCCTGAAACGCCGGGATACAATGCCGAAGAACCTAACACGTCGCTCATAAACTTAGATGGTGATTAAAAAATATAAATTTTATGTACGCGTATATTAATCCATGTTTTTATGTATTTATTTAGCAAACAATTAGTACGGGTACGCGATGTGTCAGTATATGAAAATTGGAGATTTCGTATGGTACGCGGGAAATCCAGAGATCACGCTGGCCCAGTTAGAGTGGATGGGCGCGACGGACGTTGGGGGTAGATTTTACGAAGTGGATATAATATACCAGCAGGATCTACACGACGCCCACAACTATATGCCGTTTTGCCTAACGCCAGCATTCCGCATCGTTCGGATTTAAAATATTTAGAATATTTAGATTTACATAATAAACTAGGTACTGAAACAAAAAACCAGAAAAATGTATTATTCCAGTAAGGTATTGAAATTGATAATACAAGAGTTAGTGAATTATATAATGATCGAACGTATAATTTCGGAAATAAATATAGACCAGACCGCGTTCGTGAACGATTATCTACTGAAGAGGAGACTCATAAAAAAAAAGATTGACTAGATTGTAAAAATAAAATACGTATGTTATGGTTTTTATACCATTTAGAGAGTCGGCCGTTATGGTTTGAATTTGTCTCCGAAAAGTTTTGGGGAAAACCTGAATGGCTGATACCTCTATTAGCTAGGTATTCAAGCTGTGACTTTTTTAGGAAAATATATCAGTTTGTGTATCGATTAGAATGTGATAGGGCTCATGCTAACTGGAACTTCTATTTAGCGTGCAGTAGTCTGGTTTCGATAATGTTTCAGGGCCGAGATATTTTGAAAATCTAGCTTCTAAAACTTATAACTCTAAACGTTTACATGACGAGGACCTGGAATTGAAGAGCGTCCAGATATGAGGTAATTATTGGCACACTTTAATATTCAGAATTTTCCTCCTCAGAATATTTAGATTTACATAATAAACTAGGTCCTGAAACAAAAAATCAGAAAAATATTTTGTTCCAGTTAGGTATTGAAATCGATAATACAAAAGTTAGAGCTTTATATGGTGATCGTGCGTATACTTTTGGGGATACATATAGGGAAGACCGCGTTCGTGAACGGTTATCTACTGAGGAGGAGACTCATAAAAAAAAAGATTGCATGGATTGTAAAAATAAAATACGTATGTTATGGTTTTTATACCATTTAGAGAGTCGGCCGTTGTGGTTTGAATTTGTCTCCGAAAAGTTTTGGGGAAAACCTGAATGGCTGATACCTCTAGGAGCAAGGTATTCTAGCTGTGACTTTGAAAATTTTCTTAGAAAAATATACCAGCTTGTTTATCAATTATGTTGTGATAGGGGTCACGCTAACTGGAACTTTTATTTGGCGTGTAATAATCTGGTTTTTGATAATGTTTCAGGACCCAGATATTTTAATAATCTAGCTTCTAAAACTTTTAAATCCGGACCTAGAATTGAAGAACGTTCAGATAGGAGGAAATTATTGGCAGAATCTATTGTTCAGAATTTTCCTCAAGTCATAGGATCGTTCGGATTTAAAATATTTAGAATATTTAGATTTGCATAATAAACTAGGTACTGAAACTAAAAACCAGAAAAATGTATTATTCCAGTAAGGTATTGAAATTGATAATACAAGAGTTAGTGAATTATATAATGATCTGGAAAACGTAAGTATTTTTTATTTTCACATTATTCAAGACTTACGTATAAATCGATGTTATTCATTATGTCTAATGATTCGTCGCCTGATTTGTCGTGGTTTAACGGGGATAGCTACAACAGAGATCTTCAGCGACTCCTCCAGAAGATACTACACCTTTTTTTTATATTTCACCAGAGAGGACATTTGTATTAGTTAGTATATATTATATATTTTTAAATAATATAATTCAATTTAAATTAAATTATTTATAAAATGTGCATAATCTGGTTTTAGCGGGTTAATAGACCGCCATCAAGACCCGTCACCGCAAGGCCCATTGCTCCGGCATTAGATGATAGTATGCAAGATTGACAAAGACCATGGTGGATGCTTAACTGGATTAGTCCGCAACGAATGCCCGTTAGCCCATCCCCGCAGCGTCACCCCTTCAGATATTCAGATATGGTAAGTGTTTAATATAAATTATGTATTAGACTCAATATAATATAATATAAAATAAACAATAATTTTTAATTTAGACTCAAGATAGTGGTTTCATTCCCGAACAACAGTCGTAGAGTACATTATCTCAAGTTAGACGACCTGCAACGCCTTCTCCACCTACAACACCGGGGGTATACGCGTTGAACCTTATAGAAAACATGGGATTTTCGCCTTCACCGCTACGACAAACACAGATGGACGAATGGTTATATGGATATATTACCGCTGGATGTTGTAGGCGGCGTGGTATTTTCACCTTCATCGCGACGACAATCTGAGATAAATGAAAGGCACCTTTTGGGTTAGTATAAAGCAAATTTGGGACGGCTGTGGCGTACGTCTTACAAGATCCGGCTGGTGGCGGGATAATCAACGTATTCCTCCCCAAGTCGGTGCAATTGTTGAGTGGTAAAATACAACGGTACAATCAGCACGAGGCTGACCCGGTCAACCTAATTTTTCGGGGGATGAGTAAAAGAAGCTTTATTAGGTATTCTAGATATGATTTTGAATATTTTTTTAGAAAATATACCAGCTTGTTTATCAATTATGATGTGATAGGGGTCACGCTAACTGAAACTTTTATTTGGCGTGTAATAATCTAGTTTTTGATACTGTTTCAGGGCCGAGATATTTTGAAAATCTAGCTTCTAAAACTTATAACTCTAAACATTTACATGACGAGGACCTGGAATTGAAGAGCGTCCAGATATGAGGTAATTATTGGCACACTTTAATATTCAGAATTTTCCTCCTCAGAATATTTTGATTTACATAATAAACTAGGTACTGAAACAAAAAATCAGAAAAATGTTTTATTCCAGTTAGGTATTGAAATCGATAATACAAAAGTTAGAGCTTTATATGGTGATCGTGCGTATACTTTTGGGGATACATATAGGGAAGACTGCGTTCGTGAGCGGTTATCTACTGAGGAGGAGACTTGGTGACATTATGCAAGTATTTTAGTTTTTAAAATATAACTTAGTGAGAAAAGGTCGAAATAAAATCTTTTGTTATAAGTCACATACGGTGAGGATTGTCAGCATGATGGGGTGAGCGGTAGAGGGGGGATGTCGTCTTATTACGTGCATGTTAGGGATGGTCAGTTAGGACGTTCCACACCGTTGTTGTGTTATAACGTATACTCCACCATTATTTAGAAATGTTTAATTGCAATCAATGTGATTTGGAATTCGTATACAAGACCAATCTGGCTGCTCACCGAAAAATACATTTAAAATTGATTAAATGTGATCAATGTACTTCAAAATACATTTTACAGCTTTAAGAATACAAGCTTAGAGATTTTTTTTTTCTACAGTCTTAGAAGTAGTGCACGATTATTTCGGAAGCACGTTGGAAAACATGCTTTCTCCGTTATGCGGCACAGAAGCTCATCAAACAAACAATTGCATGGATTGCAGAAAGAAAGCACGTATGTTCTGTTGTTTTTATCATCTAGAGGGTCAGTCGTTCTGGTTGGAATTCGTCACCGAAAATTTTCGGGGAAAACCTGAATGGCTGATACCTCTATTAGCTAGGTATTCAAGCTGTGACTTCGAATATTTTTTTAGGAAAATATATCAGTTTGTGTATCGATTAGAATGTGATAGGGCTCATGCTAACTGGAACTTCTATTTAGCGTGCAGTAGTCTGGTTTTCGATAATGTTTCAGGGCCGAGATATTTAGAAAATCTAGCTTCTAAAACTTATAACTCTAAACGTTTACATGACGAGGACCTGGAATTGAAGAGCGTCCAGATATGAGGTAATTATTGGCACACTTTAATATTCAGAATTTTCCTCCTCAGAATATTTAGATTTACATAATAAACTAGGTCCTGAAACAAAAAATCAGAAAAATATTTTGTTCCAGTTAGGTATTGAAATCGATAATACAAAAGTTAGAGCTTTATATGGTGATCGTGCGTATACTTTTGGGGATACATATAGGGAAGACCGCGTTCGTGAACGGTTATCTACTGAGGAGGAGACTCATAAAAAAAAAGATTGCATGGATTGTAAAAATAAAATACGTATGTTATGGTTTTTATACCATTTAGAGAGTCGGCCGTTATGGTTTGAATTTGTCTCCGAAAAGTTTTGGGGAAAACCTGAATGGCTGATACCTCTAGGAGCAAGGTATTCTAGCTGTGACTTTGAATATTTTCTTAGAAAAATATACCAGCTTGTTTATCAATTATGATGTGATAGGGGTCACGCTAACTGGAACTTTTATTTGGCGTGTAATAATCTGGTTTTTGATAATGTTTCAGGACCCAGATATTTTAATAATCTAGCTTCTAAAACTTTTAAATCCGGACCTAGAATTGAAGAACGTTCAGATAGGAGGAAATTATTGGCAGAATCTATTGTTCAGAATTTTCCTCAAGTCATAGGATCGTTCGGATTTAAAATATTTAGAATATTTAGATTTGCATAATAAACTAGGTACTGAAACTAAAAACCAGAAAAATGTATTATTCCAGTAAGGTATTGAAATTGATAATACAAGAGTTAGTGAATTATATAATGATCTGGAAAACGTAAGTATTTTTTATTTTCACATTATTCAAGACTTACGTATAAATCGATGTTATTCATTATGTCTAATGATTCGTCGCCTGATTTGTCGTGGTTTAACGGGGATAGCTACAACAGAGATCTTTCAGCGACTCCTCCAGAAGATACTCCACCTTTTTTTTATATTTCACCAGAGAGGACATTTGTATTAGTTAGTATATATTATATATTTTTAAATAATATAATTCAATTTAAATTAAATTATTTATAAAATGTGCATAATCTGGTTTTAGCGGGTTAATAGACCGCCATCAAGACCCGTCACCGCAAGGCCCATTGCTCCGGCATTAGATGATAGTATGCAAGATTGACAAAGACCATGGTGGATGCTTAACTGGATTAGTCCGCAACCAATGCCCGTTAGCCCATCCCCGCAGCGTCACCCCTTCAGATATTCAGATATGGTAAGTGTTTAATATAAATTATGTATTAGACTCAATATAATATAATATAAAATAAACAATAATTTTTAATTTAGACTCAAGATAGTGGTTTCATTCCCGAACAACAGTCGTAGAGTACATTATCTCAAGTTAGACGACCTGCAACGCCTTCTCCACCTACAACACCGGGGGTATACGCGTTGAACCTTATAGAAAACATGGGATTTTCGCCTTCACCGCTACGACAAACACAGATGGACGAATGGTTATATGGATATATTACCGCTGGATGTTGTAGGCGGCGTGGTATTTTCACCTTCATCGCGACGACAATCTGAGATAAATGAAAGGCACCTTTTGGGTTAGTATAAAGCAAATTTGGGACGGCTGTGGCGTACGTCTTACAAGATCCGGCTGGTGGCGGGATAATCAACGTATTCCTCCCCAAGTCGGTGCAATTGTTGAGTGGTAAAATACAACGGTACAATCAGCACGAGGCTGACCCGGTCAACCTAATTTTTCGGGGGATGAGTAAAAGAAGCTTTATTAGGTATTCTAGATATGATTTTGAATATTTTTTTAGAAAATATACCAGCTTGTTTATCAATTATGATGTGATAGGGGTCACGCTAACTGAAACTTTTATTTGGCGTGTAATAATCTAGTTTTTGATACTGTTTCAGGGCCGAGATATTTTGAAAATCTAGCTTCTAAAACTTATAACTCTAAACATTTACATGACGAGGACCTGGAATTGAAGAGCGTCCAGATATGAGGTAATTATTGGCACACTTTAATATTCAGAATTTTCCTCCTCAGAATATTTTGATTTACATAATAAACTAGGTACTGAAACAAAAAATCAGAAAAATGTTTTATTCCAGTTAGGTATTGAAATCGATAATACAAAAGTTAGAGCTTTATATGGTGATCGTGCGTATACTTTTGGGGATACATATAGGGAAGACTGCGTTCGTGAGCGGTTATCTACTGAGGAGGAGACTTGGTGACATTATGCAAGTATTTTAGTTTTTAAAATATAACTTAGTGAGAAAAGGTCGAAATAAAATCTTTTGTTATAAGTCACATACGGTGAGGATTGTCAGCATGATGGGGTGAGCGGTAGAGGGGGGATGTCGTCTTATTACGTGCATGTTAGGGATGGTCAGTTAGGACGTTCCACACCGTTGTTGTGTTATAACGTATACTCCACCATTATTTAGAAATGTTTAATTGCAATCAATGTGATTTGGAATTCGTATACAAGACCAATCTGGCTGCTCACCGAAAAATACATTTAAAATTGATTAAATGTGATCAATGTACTTCAAAATACATTTTACAGCTTTAAGAATACAAGCTTAGAGATTTTTTTTTTCTACAGTCTTAGAAGTAGTGCACGATTATTTCGGAAGCACGTTGGAAAACATGCTTTCTCCGTTATGCGGCACAGAAGCTCATCAAACAAACAATTGCATGGATTGCAGAAAGAAAGCACGTATGTTCTGTTGTTTTTATCATCTAGAGGGTCAGTCGTTCTGGTTGGAATTCGTCACCGAAAATTTTCGGGGAAAACCTGAATGGCTGATACCTCTATTAGCTAGGTATTCAAGCTGTGACTTCGAATATTTTTTTAGGAAAATATATCAGTTTGTGTATCGATTAGAATGTGATAGGGCTCATGCTAACTGGAACTTCTATTTAGCGTGCAGTAGTCTGGTTTTCGATAATGTTTCAGGGCCGAGATATTTAGAAAATCTAGCTTCTAAAACTTATAACTCTAAACGTTTACATGACGAGGACCTGGAATTGAAGAGCGTCCAGATATGAGGTAATTATTGGCACACTTTAATATTCAGAATTTTCCTCCTCAGAATATTTAGATTTACATAATAAACTAGGTCCTGAAACAAAAAATCAGAAAAATATTTTGTTCCAGTTAGGTATTGAAATCGATAATACAAAAGTTAGAGCTTTATATGGTGATCGTGCGTATACTTTTGGGGATACATATAGGGAAGACCGCGTTCGTGAACGGTTATCTACTGAGGAGGAGACTCATAAAAAAAAAGATTGCATGGATTGTAAAAATAAAATACGTATGTTATGGTTTTTATACCATTTAGAGAGTCGGCCGTTATGGTTTGAATTTGTCTCCGAAAAGTTTTGGGGAAAACCTGAATGGCTGATACCTCTAGGAGCAAGGTATTCTAGCTGTGACTTTGAATATTTTCTTAGAAAAATATACCAGCTTGTTTATCAATTATGATGTGATAGGGGTCACGCTAACTGGAACTTTTATTTGGCGTGTAATAATCTGGTTTTTGATAATGTTTCAGGACCCAGATATTTTAATAATCTAGCTTCTAAAACTTTTAAATCCGGACCTAGAATTGAAGAACGTTCAGATAGGAGGAAATTATTGGCAGAATCTATTGTTCAGAATTTTCCTCAAGTCATAGGATCGTTCGGATTTAAAATATTTAGAATATTTAGATTTGCATAATAAACTAGGTACTGAAACTAAAAACCAGAAAAATGTATTGTTCCAGTAAGGTATTGAAATTGATAATACAAGAGTTAGTGAATTATATAATGATCTGGAAAACGTAAGTATTTTTTATTTTCACATTATTCAAGACTTACGTATAAATCGATGTTATTCATTATGTCTAATGATTCGTCGCCTGATTTGTCGTGGTTTAACGGGGATAGCTACAACAGAGATCTTTCAGCGACTCCTCCAGAAGATACTCCACCTTTTTTTTATATTTCACCAGAGAGGACATTTGTATTAGTTAGTATATATTATCCCAGTTAGCAAAAGCGTAATGATAATAATACTAAAATATTATTTACTCATTATATCTGAAATAATATAATTAAAATAATATAGTTTTATTTTATTAACATTATTTGTTTTATAATACTTTAGTACCGAAAAAAAAATCATACTATATTATTATTAGTTAATTACAAAAATATTATTATTAATATAACAATATAGTATTGTTTTATTTAGAATACATTTATAATATTATTTTTAAAGTATTAACAAAATAATACTATATTATTATTAGTTAATTACAAAAATATCATTATCAATAGAATAATATAGTATTGATTTATTAGAATAAATTTATAATATTATTTCAAAAGAACAACTAAATTATTACTATATTGTTATAATTTCATTATGAATATAATATATTATTATTATTATTATTAATAAATTAGAATCGTTTTATTTACAAATTACAATACGCGTTATTTTAATTATTATTATTATTATTTATATATAATTATGATGTGAGCGTAATATTATATATAATTATAAAAGTATTACCCCCCTAACGCTCTTATAGGCTAAGTGGTAAATGAAAGAGTGGGATTTTGGGTGTTACAACCACCACAGGTATTTTTGCTATAGAAATCTGTTAAATCCTTAATAAAGTAACAGTTAAATTATAATATAAGTGTGTCCCCTGAAATCAGATGTGTTTTAGACCCGGGATAACTATATATAATAATACACAAATAATAAGTAGAAATATAGTATCGTATATAATAGCATAATAAACACACAAAAAATATAGGTATAATATAACAGACTGTATAGGTACCTCCTAATATTAATTACAATAATCTAGATTTTTCACCAATCGAGAAATCAGAAATGTATATAATTATGTTAATTAACGTAGGTATAATTATATGAAAGATTCTGAGTTGTTCATTGGGCATCACATATATGCAATCTATTTTTTAAGTTTCAGTGTTGATGTTGAAAATGATCTTTAACAATGATTAATTTGTACAGGAGGTAAAGTACAATTATAGTTTCAGAACAATTTATTGATGTAATCAATATAGGGAAAAAATCTAGTTGCATCCTCGCAAATTTTTAAATTTTTTTCTCGGAAACCTATGTATTTTAACGATAGTGCAAAACTCAATTTTATGCAGCCTTATAACAAGATCACGATTTTTTGTGTTGTACGCATCACGGATTATTGACTGACATAATAATAATAATAATTATATTATTATAATAATAATTATGACAAGTATTATTATTGTAACTCTGTGGTAAACATTCGTGATAATGAGTAATGACTTGTCTTATATATATTATAATATTACACATATTATATTAGTCCGCCGTGATTGAATTTATTATTTTTATTTAATCGTTAAGCATTTTAATTTGGAAACACCGCTCACCGCGTTCACTATTCGTATCATTGTATATTATAGCGTTCGTATAATAAATAATAATATTGTTTATGTGTGTGCGCTGTACCCCCCACCATGCGCGGTGGCGCGACATACTTAGACAGCGTACTATAATTATACTTTGCCGACTGCCGTTGCGGTCGCGCCGCGTATGCTGGCCGTCAGGTTTTTCCATCGGTTATTGTCGTTATTGATAACTGATAAGATTAATATTATATTAACCCGTAAGTGGTATGGTACGGTCACACAGACCGCTGCAGTTTTTTGTTTTGATTTAGGTGATAAGGTATTAATGATACAATCAAAGAGGTTGGTTTTACCTTTCCACGGAGATAGTACAAAACGGTAACTAATGGTTATGGAGGTAAACATGTTAAATACTGGTGTTAACAACTGTTTTAAAGTGATAAGCGGTCTGGCGGACCGCACCATACCATCTACGTAATTATTTTTTCTAATCAAAATTTGACAAAGTTCATTAACGTTTTTTATTTTTTCGTTATTTTCAATTAAAAAAAAATAAAAATGGATGAAGCTAGTTCATCTAACATTAGGATAAATGACCCGAACTTTCAGAACATTATATCAGACATATTAGCTGAAGATTGTTCAGACGTAAGTGATGATGTTCATGATAATATGTGTATTGATAGTGATCATAACTCCGAATCGGAACAAAATGTAAGTGAATCAGATGAAAGTGAGACAGACAGTAATACTGATAATGGCGATGACATTAGACCATCAAAATTCCTATATGGTAAAAATAAATTTAAATGGTCGGTTGAGGAGTTCGCGTCTAAAAATACAAGAACTGCTCGACATAATATCATTACTAAACTTCCTGGACTGCGTGGCCCAATTAAACAATTTGGTGATACCGCTCGTCCTTCTGAAATTTGGAATATTTCATTTACTGAAAATATAATAAATGAAATATTGGTTTGGACAAACATAAAAATTGATAGTTTTCGTCATAAATATAAAAATCATATGCAAAGTTTCCTAAAAAATGTAGACGAAGTTGAGCTAAGGTCATTGTTTGGTTTGCTATTTTACTCAGCTGTATTCAAATCAAATCATGAAAATGCAAACACCTTATTTGCAACTGACGGAACAGGACGTGAAATTTTTCGTCTGGTCATGAGTAAAAAACGGTTTTTATTTTTAATTTCATGTTTACGTTTCGATAATTCTGATACTAGGACTGAAAGAAAAGAACACGATCCACTCGCACCAATTTCTGAAATTTTTAATGAATTTATTGAAAACTGTAAATTGAATTACTCTTTGAGTTCATGTGTTACCGTGGATGAGATGTTAGTAAGTTTTCGTGGTAGATGTAAATTTAAAATGTATATACCTAATAAACCAGCTAAATACGGGTTAAAAATAATGTGCTTAACTGATTCGCGCAGTCACTATTTATTTAACGCATACATTTACGCCGGACAAAATACTGATGGACTTACCTTAGATCATACAGAAAGAAAGTTTTCTAAGCCTACACAATCAGTTTTACGGTTGTCAAAACCAATACAAGGGACCAACCGTAATGTAACTGCAGATAATTGGTTTAGTTCCATAGAACTTGTTGAACTTTTAAAAAAGAAAAAATTAACATATGTTGGTACATTAAAAAAAAATAAACGTGAAATACCTCAAGCTTTTCTACCAAAAAAGAAAAGTACAGTTGGCTTTACTCAATATGGATTTACAAAAGATCTTACACTTTTATCGTACGTGCCAAAACCAAATAAAGCAGTGTTAGTAATCTCATCGATGCACAATCAAAAAGGGTTTGACAATGATGTCCAAAAACCTGAAATCATTTCTTATTATAATAGTACAAAAGGAGGCGTTGATGCATTGGACGAAAAATGTTCTATTTATTCTACTGGGCGTCGTACTCGTCGTTGGCCGTTAGCAATTTTTTACAGACTTCTTGATGTTTCTTCTGTTAATTCGTATGTCTTATATAATTCTTTTAAAAATAACGAAACAATGACAAGAGCCGATTATTTAAAGAGTTTAGCGTTTGAACTTGTGAGTCCAGAATTAGAAAGACGCTTTGAAAATACATGTATCTCACGTGAAATAAGAAGTGGAATTAGAAGAGTTCTCGGTAAATCAAAAAACTTAAAAGATACGCCAGTGTACGAAGACAAGCTGGAATCACGAAAAACGTGTCGAATATGTCCTCCTAAGAAGAAAAGGAAAACTATTTATCAATGTAAACTCTGTGGGGATCCCATATGTCTTGAGTGCAGCAGAAAAATTTGTTCAAATTGTTTCAGAAACTAAGTAACTGTTAATTTTTTATTTATATTTTAATTCAAGTTGTCTTATAAAAGTATTTAAATTTTTTTTTTATTTGAAAGTTGTTTATTTATTTTTATTTAGTTTAGTTGAAAAGAAAAAATATTTTGTCTATATACAATTATTTTTTATTCTTGTAGATTATTATTTCAATAAATATATATTATCATATTTTATTTATATTTGTTATACTAAGTGGGTCAAGCAATAAATATAAAAAATTAAGTCGAATATGCGATTTTTAATTTATTTCATTCAAAATATGTAGATCTATCAATGATAAAAAGGGCTATTTTGACTTACATTATTTGTGTCTAAAAATTAAAATTGTTGAACCATTCTTTTTCTTATATTGCTTTTAATTATATCTACTTCAATATTTAGATGTTGATGGAGTTCAAAACGTATTTTTAAACACTTAAGGCTTTGTCGAAGCACAAGTAAGAAATAACATAGCAATTTTTAAGATGTCTATAAAATGAATTATTTTCTTAAAAAGTGTCAAATTTGAGTCGAAAAAATGATAGTCAAATAAAAGTTGACACTGTAAATGTATTATTTCTGCAAATAATGCGATGGAATAATTGAAAAATATGGTCTTAATATAATTAACAAAATTGAGTGGTCCAGGAGACCGCACCATACCATAACCGTGATTTTTTTTCACCATACCACTTACGGGTTAAAATTCTCCTTGGCCCATGCGCCCATGTGTAATGATATAATATTATTTGCAAATTGCAATTGAATAAAATAATATTGTTGTACGACGAATAACGACTAACGAGTCACGATACCTTCTTACAAGTTTTACGATTACGTTATTTCGACACTGAGTACAGTCTACACCATCACGTTATAGCGGTCTGTGTTGTTATAAACTTATAAAGTTACTTTTTTCAAACCTACGCAGAATTGAGAACAGTGAATACGCTTATACAGTTATAGGCATCGACGTCAATATTCAGGTAAGATATAAAGTAAAATACCTATAATAATAAGTATATTTTATATTAATTATCAAGATACGAAGTTATAGGTAGTTGTTGATTGTTATAGTATATTCAGTCATAAATATGTGCAGTGTTATTCAAAATGATTCATTCTTTCGTATTTTTAGTTTCTAAGCTAAGAGTGATATAATATGATTTAGTAAAGTTATAGCGGTAATATTACAAATTTATCTAGATTCCATCTATCATATACATATCCTAGGTCCTGATTTCTTTGTTAGTCAAAACTCAATTATTCATTATATGCATATCCGCTGTATCAAACTCCAGTAATTGTTTATCTGTAGTTGATGCTAACTGTGGCAAGTTGTAGGTACATATTTAAACAGAATCTCAAAAGATGTAGTCACTACATACCTAATGGGTGTACAATCAGATGACCTAGAGATAGGTAGGTACTTTGATTTATTAAATAACTTATAAAATTAAAAAATACATTTTTTGTTTTAATATTTATAATAATAATATAATAATACTAATGTCATAAAGTGTACTTCTTAGTTCCTATAACTTATAATAAGATTAATTTATAAAATAACTTGGATTCAATTTATAATCATATCATTATTTAAAATATAAAGAATGTGTTTGTTTCATTCTTTAAAAGTTGTAACGAGTTGTAATGAGTAGGTACATTAAAAATATTCTATTTGAGAGTTTTATGTATACAACAGGCTTTATTTTTCCATGCAATTTGAACTAAACGCTTACAATATAATAGTTATATAGTATTAACTAACAAGCATTTAGTTAAAGCACATCAAAACATTCATTCATTTATGAATAGTAATCAAATGTGTATATGAAGCAATAATTTGCAAGTGTGATTATTATAATGTCTAGGTAGTTATAATTATAGGTAGTTCCTTAATAATTATAATAATTGCATAGAAATAGGTATTAAATAACTATAAATAAATCATAATATAGATAAATTGAATATTCTTATTTAAATTAAAATATTTAACTCCTATACTCTTAACGATTTTACCACTGAATAGATTATCTATTCTTTGATTTTATTTTATTTTGCACGCGCAACACATTATTTACCTATCATCTATATTTTTATTTGTTTTTTTACATTTTCTAAATTTCAATATAGGAATATTATTATAAAAATAGCATCTACCTATTATTATTTTTAAAATAATTATTGTTTAAGTAATTTAATAATTAGGTACCATGCTATTTTATAATAATATTGATAATATTATGTATTTTAGTTCCATAATGAGTAGCCAACGCTCTAAAAGAAGAAAACTTCGAGAAGAATTATATACATATACTAATTTGCCAAATTTTACATTTGAATCTGAAAACCCTGAACAACTATTATTAGAAACTCACACTGATACTCCAATTTGTCAAAGTAGTCTCCAACTAGACAAATTACCACTAGAGTGTCCTAATAATGATTCTGTTTTCTCACCTACTCAAATATATACTGGTCATGAACATTTAGAACCAAATAACCTAACTTCGCCCAATATTCAAATGAACTTCGAAACAGACAATAACTATGATTTACCTAATAATGCTGCTACTGAAAATACATTTTCTATTTCTGACATGATATCCAAATGGGCAATAAATTATAATATTTCACATTGTGCAGTTAATGGTCTTTTATTGGGTCTAAGAAATCATAAATGTTTTGCTAATTTACCAAAAGATGCCAGAACTATACTTCGTACAAAATCTATTGATATGAGCAATATGCGAGTAGTCACACCAGGTCAATACTATCATTTCGGTTTAAGAAACGGAATTGAACGGCATTTCTTATTCAAAGACAATTCTACAAATGAAATTCGACTAGTAATTGGAATTGACGGTTTACCAATTGCTAAAAGTACAACTAGTCAATTTTGGCCAATTTTGGGATATATAAGACCATACTCTGGTAATGTTTTTCCAATAGGAATTTATTTAGGAATGGAAAAACCACATGATAGTAATGATCTCCTTCAAGATTTTGTCAATGAAGCTAAAATTTTGTTGAAAGATGGTATAATTATTAATAACAAGATTTATACAATTATTTTTGATGTTTTTTGTTGCGACGTGCCCGCAAAATCTTTTATTCTTAAGATTAAGGGACATTGTGGTTACTTTTCTTGTACTCGGTGTAGAATAGAAGGGGAACATAAAGACAATAGAACTTGTTTTCCTTATGATGATGCCGATTTAGTTAATGTTAGAACTCATAATGATTATGTTCAAAGAATTCAAGAAGACCACCATGTATCTTCAAATATTTCTTGTCTTGCTGAGTTGACAAGATTGGATGTTGTGTCAAATTTTTCGTTAGATTACATGCATTTAGTGTGCTTAGGCACAGTTAAAAAACTTATACTTTTGTGGATGAAAGGGCCATTAAATGTCAGGTTGCCATCTTGGAAAATTAATGAAATATCAGAAAATTCAGTAAAATTAAAAACTTCATTTCCCTGCGAGTTTTCTAGGAAGCCTAGAAAATTGGATGAAATAAGTCGATGGAAGGCTACTGAGTTAAGGTCATTCCTCTTATATACTGGACCAATAGTTTTAAAAAAGACATTGTCTGATGATTGTTTCAAGCATTTTATGTCTTTAAATATAGCAATGATAATCCTTCTAAGTTCTGACCATTCTACTTATGTAGACTATGCTAAGGATTTATTAAAGTATTTTGTAAAATCATTTGAAACTATTTATGGCCGTTATTTAATATCTCATAATATACATGGATTATTGCATTTGACAGAAGACTTTCGCTTGTATGGACAATTAGACAATTGTAGTGCATTTGTTTTTGAAAACTACATGCAAACCCTTAAATCAATGTTAAGAAAACCTGACAAACCATTAGAACAAATTGTTCTGAGGTACCATGAACGTGGACAAATTATTTATAATCCTAAAAATAATAACAATATCACACTTTTAGGACCACATGATAATGGACCATTATTAGATAATATGAGAGTCGATTCTCAATACAATACATTACAATTGCCTAATTTTAAGTTTAAAACTAAAATTAATGCCGATTCTTATTATCTTTCAAAAAAAAAAGAAATAGTAAAACTAATTAATATAACATATTCAAAAGATTCTGATAAAATAATATTAATTGGGAAAAAGTTTGAACATAAGGAAGACTTTTATGATCAGCCCATTAGTTCATCACATTTTGGAATTTATGTTGTGAAACATATGTCAACCAACTTGAGCTGTTGGTCAATTACTGATATAGATAAAAAAGTTATGATTTTTTCAATTGAAGATGGCCGGTTGGTTGCTCTTCCATTTCTTCATTCAAATTAAATGTAACCTAATATTATATTGTATAATTGTAAAATATATAAATTGTGTTATAACTTTATGTCGTATATAAAATTAAATCTATTTACTTACTAAGTTTAAAAAAAAAATTGTATAAAAATATTTTTAAACAGGAATTAATTAGGGACGATTTTCTTATTTTAATTGTAAAAACTTGGTTTTATATTGTACTATTATAAAAAAAAAAATCCTTTATATTTATTTAAGATTATATATTATTTATAATTTAATTGCTAGGTGCCTATAATATTTTCATTTTTGACAGTATTATTCAAGTATAATTTTTTAATTTTCAATAATACGCTCTAAAAGTTGTATTTGGTTAAGATACCAGCTATTTACAAAAATTGTGGTGAGTCAATAGTAACAAGTTTAAATGTATTGACCTATACTTAGCTATATTATTAGTTGTAATTTTAACAAAAAAAAATATTTAATAATAATTTGTTTTATACATTTTTTAACTAGGTATAGATATATAATATATTTAGTATTATGTGGTCAATCGTTGAGTTTATTGATGAACATACAATTGAAGTTGTGCCAGCTCATTGGGTAAAGAATAAACAGTGTGCCTGGCCAAAAAAAAACGTAAAATCCAATATTGAAAGAAGAACGATTCCAAATATTTTTGATTTTGATTACTATGCCTCCAGAGTAATAAAAAAAAGCATTGGTACATTTTTTTATTTTGAATTAATCAATAACTTTTTGAAAAATTAATTTACTCATATTTAAATTAAATATAAAATATTGAACTATTAGTAGTTTTTCATAAGACCATAAGATCTTAGAAACTATATTTATTTTAAACATTTTAGAGTCTTTACAAGTTGCTAGGGCTAAATTGAAGATGGCTGAACATACTTCGGACCTATCAACAACTGAAGAAGTTTGCATTAGAGGGAAAAAAACAACAGTCCCTGACCCTCCAATGTACTCATCACATAATATAATGGAGATTTCTAGTGTACAAAAAGGTAAAACTACCTATTTAAGTTTATTTCTATGTGCATTATATTTGAGACACCAATAAATTTATTATTTCAGATCATGATGATAATAATTTTGAAACCCAAAGTTCGAAAAATGTATCATTAGCAATGACATGCAAGAGAAAACTTTTTGACTCCATTACTTCTGAAGGTAATAGTACTCGCTGTATACCTACTATTATATAGAGTATAGACTCGTACATTTTAATTAACTAGCAATTTAGAATTAAGAATACAAATAGTTTTTTTTAGCTTTAGAGATATCAGTTTTAACTATTAAGTTTTTTAAGGTTGTATTTGTAGATATGTTATTATGTTTTAGATGACTCTGCAGATGATATCAACCCAATTCGTACTCTGAATATAAAAAGGCGTAAAAATAAAACTTATAGAAATTCAAATAATTTGAATTCTCCCGATGAAAAATGTAGATCTAGTTATTATTATGAATCTAAGAGTTCTACAGTCCAAGGTATGATAATAACTGTAGAATATTTATATTTTAAGATTAATTATATATTATAATACTTATTATAATTATATATTATGTTATTGAAATCTTATTATTCATTTTTTTTATTTAGTGCTTTCACCGCAAAACACACCTCAGATATCAAAAAAAGTAAACACACAATATGATAATCCCGATGAACAGCATTTTACAGTAACTGGTAATTATTAATTTAGATAGTCTTTTAAATATTAGATAATAATATACTACTTAACAGTTAATATTGTTTTTTGTAGATTCAAATGTCAAACAGTCTATAGTTTATACTTCTTCATCGCCATTTAAAGTAACATCAGATGTTGACTATACATCAAATAATATGATGAATGAACCTCAAAAATCAAATATATATGTATCTGGTATGATATAAAACTTATATAATAACTATACTATCTATACTATTAAGAAATCAAATGAATGTTTTTGAAAAGTAATAATTTGTGCTTCGTTTCTTAAAGCATTCTTTTAAAATTTAAAATTGTTGATAGTTTAAATAGATACAATATTAGTATAATTATGTTGTTGGGTATAGTAAGTATAATATGTTAATTGTAGTTTAAGTTATGTGACTTATATAACTAAGCACTGTCTTCAAAATCACATATGGATAATTTTCATAAATTAATACACATTAAGATATTAAGGTTATTAAGCTATATATATTTATAATATGATAAACTATAATATATTTCAACATCTCAAATACTTAAAGTTGAAGCAAATCTAAGTAAACATATATAATATATCCTGTGTATTCTTAATAGTCAAAGAATATAATAAAATATTTCAATTATAATTCATTATTAAAACTTCAATTATCCAATTGTATTCACTATTAGCATTTTTATATACATTTTTTTTTTTGCACAGCAAAATAGAAATTGTATTGTATTGGTCATTTTTAGGTTCGAGCGGTATAAATAGAAAATATACAAAAACTAATATGTATAAAGAAGGATCATCTAAACCACTACAACAAAATAACATTGAAATACTGACACCACCCACAGTACTTCCTTCATCTTTGCAAAGTTCTAAAAATGATACTGGTTGGTTTAAATTACAAAAGTGTCTTTCTATTTATTGGTTTATTATCAATTGGTTCTATTATTGTTAAATATATTTTTTTCTATATTACAGAAATTGTTAAACGAATATTACAAGTAGTTTTAAAAATAAGGTATGATGTTGAAAATTTGGATCAAAAACTGCAACAAATGGAAAAAAAAATAGAAGAAAATGGTTTGACTAAAACAGCTGTTAATGAATCAACTTATATTGATACAATTAATCAAGAAGATGATTTTGAAACTATACTACCTCTAATGAATGAAGATGATCTTCATATATTTGAAAACAAGCTCTCTAATAGGAGTTTCAGATTAAATGTGGTTAGTTTAAATAGTTTATAATTGGTATGTTTTTTAAGTGTACAAATTCCAATTTAATTTTTTCAGGTAAATGGTCTCAAACGATTAGTTAGAAAAACTTTAGCTTCTTCAGTACGCCAAGTAATGCGTAAACTATTTTCCGATGAATTGTTAAAATACTATAGCTACGTTGGTCAAAAAAAGAAGAAAATCTTCTCGACGTTGTCATCTTGCACCATTATTTTTGGTAAGATAAAAATGTGTTTAATGAATTATGTTGATATAGTAATAGTATATACTAATTAGTTATTATTTATTAATAGCAATATAATATGTACATATAATAGTTTCCCTTAACTTAAATGTTGCTATTTAAAATAATTACTCATCGTTTAGAATATAATAAACATTTAACATTTACGATATTTGCATAAATAAGTTTTATGAATTATTTATATATTGTAGTTCTCTTACTCTGTTTAAATTTTTGTATAGATTCTAAAGCTAAATAGTAACAGTAAAAGCAGTATAAATTAATATTTTGTGAACTATACTTTTATAATACATTAAATAATTACTTTTTTTTCCAAATAACAATGCCTATATATTCTCGGAAGTATCTAAACCAACTATAATGGATTGATCATTAATCATTATGTTAGTATTGCCAATATTGTTTCACGAAAACAATATTTTTATTGATAAACAATTAATGTTTGTGAAAAAATAATTAATAAATCGGACCTTATGGTATTTAAATATAAGTATTTAAATTTTTTTAAAAATACTTTAAGAAGATTGTATATATTATATAAAATACCATAAAAAAAACTTTAAAATGTATTTAAATACAAGTATCCGAATACTTAAAAGACTGGGCCGCCACCTATTATATATTGTATGCTCTTGTGTTTCAGAAACCATAAGAAAATGTAAAGATTTTCAAAACGCTTTAAACTCTGAAATAGAAGCACCTATTAAAATATACATTGCAGGAGCAGCATTCAGGAAAAAAAATAATCTTATTTGATTAATTTGTTATTATTATATTTACTGTAATCATGAAAATAATATAAATTAAAATGTATAATATATCCTGTAAGTACCACTGTTTTAGGATTTTAAGAAAATATTGGAGGATCAATATAAACGCCCAAGAAACTTGTATTTACCTATTTTGAATTTTGTTGAAGTTTAACATTAAATAAATAATAAAAAAGTATCTATACAAATGCTAGTGTTATTTTACTTTATAGTGGTATAATTGTAAAATCCTAATATAATAGTTCCTACCTATATACTTATACAAAACTGATTTTTTTTAAGCATATATATATATATCAATATGGTGCAAAACTATTTAGGAACTCATCGGGAAACTTAGAAAGTTTGATTTTTTTCTCAAAAAAATTAATGCTATCACTTATTTGTCCTATTCTACCATAATATATATGATTGAGTTACCTATACTTAAACTAGTTTTATCATATATTGTCTATCTATGTTGAATTATAGGATTTCCATTCAATAGATATAGGGTATATTTAAATATAAATAATTCAAAATGTATGATAAAAATATTTTAAGTAACTACTTTTTATATGACAACTATATACAATTTGAAAAAATAACTACTATTTTATTACAATATTTTTTTTAAGAAATAATATTATTTTAATTATTTTAATTAACATTATTTTTAAAATATTATAAAATGTTTTTTTTTTATTATTATAATAACAATATAAAAAAAATAATATAGTATTAATGAGTACCTGGCCAAATAATAATACTAAAATATTATTAAAACATTTTTATTTCTTATTTATATTGAAATAAAAATAATCAAATAACATTATTCATTATATTTGTAATTATATAAAAACATTATTATAATATGTTTTTGCTATCTGGGCATAACTCACTAGAGTATCATAAAACTTCATTATTAAAATCAAATATGAGAGCAGAAATTGATAACCAAAACATTTTACCAGTTGATTTACAAATTTTGGAACAACAATTAAATTTCATCAATGAAAGTAAAAAATGTTTGATTCCTATAATCGAAACTTTAATATTATGTTACCGGCAGGGTTTGGCCCTTCGTGGTTCAAATGATTCAGGGAGAATAACCTCCGAAGAACCTTTAACTAACGATGGTAATTTTAAGATTATCGTATATATCGAGCAAAAACTGACGATCAGCTTAATACTTTTTTGCAAAATTCCTCAAAAAATGCCATGTATATCAGTAACCGTATACAAAACGAATTTATTGTCATATTTCATAATTTAATTCAAAAACAGATTATTGAACGAGTCAATAAATCTCAAGCTTTTTCAGAAACAGCAGATGAAACTGCGGATATTGCTGGCATAGAACAAGTACAATATGTGTAAGGTATTTAAATAATGATGACGCTAAATTAAAAATACGTGAAGATTTTTTAAGCTTTGTACCTGTAGCAGATGTAACTGGGAAAGGTTTATCAAATGTTATTTTGGATTTCCTTGAATATTCTGGAATTGATTGTGCGTATTTATTTGGACAAGGGTATGACGGGGCTAGTACTATGAGTGGTGAATTTCACGGAGTTCAAGCGTATATCAGAGAAAAGTATCATTTAGCTCTCTACTCACACTGTGCTGCCCATAGTTTCAATTTGGCAGTTAGTGCCGCATGTAGTATCCCCCAAATTAGAAACTGTCTTGGTACAGTCCAATCTATTTATAACTTCTTTAATACACCAAAACGACAAATTGCACTTCATGATGCAATACAAAATAATGAATTTTTGTTACAAGAAAAGAAAAAAAAACTTAAAAAATACTGAGCAAAAAGGTGGGTACAGCAGCATGAATCAATTGGAACCTATATAGATTTACAACCAGTTGTTATTGACGCCTTAGAAAACATTTCAAGTACTTGGACAGATTCAAAAACAACATCCGGATCTTTTCAACTCCTTTCAGCAATAAAAACCTTAGAGTTTCAAGTATCAATTGACGTTTTGCATTCAGTACATGCATTGGCTTTATCATTGAGTAGAGTTTCACAAACAGAAAATCAAGATTTGGTTGAGGCTGTTAAGTTAGCAGATGCAGCAAAACACGAACTTGAAGAAAGAAGACAATATTCTACAGAAAACTTCAACAAAATTTTTGTGACTGTAGAAGATATTTGTAAGAAGTACAATATACCTGTGACTAAACCAAGACTCGTATCACGCCAAACTAACCGTTCTAACATTATAACAGACTCCGTAACAGATTATTATAAAATTATTATTTACATACCATATCATGATTTATTTATCACTCATCTTCAAGATCGCTTCCTCAAACATCGAAATATTATGTCCAACTTCTCATGTCTTTTTCCTATTGAAACTAAATCTTTAGACAAAGTTGCTTGTAAAACGTTGTTAGAACCTACAGTTCAATTTTACACGACGATTCCCCAGAAATTTGGATAAGTGAGGTAGAAATTTGGCGACGACTAGTTGTTAAAAATATTCAAAACGCCCTTGATGCCCTTGATATTTGTAATGCAGATGCATTTCCAAATGTCCATAAAATGTTACGTGTAAAGTCAGTTTTGCCTGTGACTACAACGACTAATGAAAGGTCGTTTTCTATATTACGTCGACTGAAAACTTACCTACGATCAACAATGGGCGAAGATCGCTTCAATAGACTAGCATCATTGAATATACATCGTGATATAAACGTGGACATAAATCAAGCACTGAATCAATTCTTTTCTGTCCCTCGTCGAGTTAATTTATTAAAAAAATGATTTGTATTTTATAGTAGGTATTGTTAAAAAACACATTTAACATAGGTACTTACAAAATTAATAATAAATATAAATATGTTATAATACTATTTTCTGATTATTGATGTATCTATGTTATACATTTTTTTTTTTCAGAACAACCCCCATTCTAAAATCCTGCGCACGGGCCTGGTGACAACTGGAAATTAACTAAATACTGCAGTTTTATTTATTATATAGCTGATATAATATAACTAAATACTAATGTTGAAATATTTTCATTATTAAGTATTAACTCAACTGTGAATCATAATTTGTACGGAACACTGAATATTAATAAATATTTAAGAATTATTTTGTATAAATTATACGATGCAAAAAATATTTTAAATACGATTTTGCCATATTACGATGGCATGCTATTATATTGTACCTAAAATAAAACTGTAAAATGAGTTTGTTGTTGTTAATCGTTTCTCATTTGTTGTGTCCTTATTCCCCGCAGGCTTTGGTTCGATTATAGATACCACGATTACACACTATTTTACCTTGAAGTAATATAAAAACGATGACTTCTGGGTATTTCTAAGACCTACTATATTACCATATTACTTAATGTCTAATGTGATTCACAATAGTAAAAAGTAAATAGCTATAACGCACCAACTTAATAATATTGTGAAAACTATTAAAAAATTTAACGAAATGTAGGTAGTTCAATTTATACTATCAATTAATGTATTCGTATGTAAACAGATTATGGATCAAGGGCACGTTCATAAACAATTTATGGGTATGGATGGGAAATGTGTTATCGTTTGCTCTGCTCTTTTATTGGGTGCACGAAATAATATTTTAAAAAACATTAAACTATTACTCAACACGCATTAATAAAACTTAAGTTTTGTCATCCCCATCCCAAGAGTCAAGGCAGGTAACCCATGCGGGTAACGATATCATACGGCCGATTAATTAATTTATTGTATTGACAAATTATTAAATCGATATTTTATAGTTTTATATTATTCACTCGAACACGGCATTAAACCTTACACTTTTGGCCATCGTTCTTATTTCATTTTTGCAAACATTTTTCATATGGTCATAATAATGCCTTAGGACCATCACTCGAATTTATACACTCAACAAATCACAGCGAATATATTACGACTAGCACGGGCGCCCGAAATGTTATTATTTATATACATTTGATTTACGTCATTTGGCATTGTCATGCCTTGACCCGGACGTCGCACTATCCGACGAAGTCAGGTTGCCTACCAGGGTTACTACGTCCAACGTCGAGGAAGGTGACCTGCTAGACACCAAGACATATACAATTTTTTTGCACGTGACCTATTACTTAATTTTGCGTCAGAAGTCATACGTTGTCCGCTATCCGACGCTAGACCCTAGATCCCCTGCTAGACCCCAAAACCTATTTTCGAGTAATTACGTCGAGGAAGGTGACTCGGTAGTCGTATTGCTTACGAAATTTTTTGAATTTTCATTACTTAATTGATTTAGTGACTGTAATGGACGCTGTCCCGGCCGCACATTGCCTACCCGGATACAGTGCCGCAACTAGAATTTTTGAGCCCTAGGACAAAAGATTATTTAGGGGCCACTATCTAGCATCACTGCACCAGGGTTTAAATTAGTGAACAAATTTATTGGAGTCAGTTAGATAAAATTAAAACAAACAAACATAATCTTTATTAAAAAGTATTTCATACATGTAAAACATACATTTTAGTAAAGAACAACACTTTTTAATATCCATCATATTAATTTATTATAAATAAAAAACACATGAAAGAATAAGTTCAGTATAATAGAATAAAGTTATACATTTTATAAAAATAATATGATGTTAATATTTTAAACAAATTTCATCTTTCTTGCTTTTGAATTAGAGAAATCTTTAATTAATTTGTCTGTTTTTAATTCTGAAGTCCGCTTTTGTTCTATATTGAGTATAGCAATGTTTGAAAGTCGATTTTGGCTACAAGAATTTCTTAAATAATTTTTTATAATTTTTAATTTTGAGAATAACCTTTCAGCCGTTGCTACTGTAACTGGCAGTGTTAAAAATATTGTACAAGCTACTAAGATTTCCGAGTAACTTGTTGCTATATCATTAGTAAGTATAAAATTGGCCATTTCATTTATAGTTTTTAAATTTTTATTTTTTATTAATTCTTTTAATGATAAAATCTGACCAGTAAAATCAGAACTAATATCATCTTTATACGTTTGAATAAAATCATATGACTCCTTTACAATATTATCTTCTCTTAAACTCAAGAGATTATTTGGATTAAGAAAATCAAATGTTTTACATACATTGTCCATTGCTTTAAAACGAATATTAAGTTGCATTAAAACAGTATCTATAATAGGATAAAATACTTTAATTTTAAAGTTTTCTGTTGTTATAGTTAACCTCCTATCTCCATCGACTTCATCAAAATGTTTTTTTTTCATATATCTGACGAGGTTCAGTATATGTAACAGGTAAGCTCCATCTCAAACACAATGACTTGGCATTATTTACTATATCTTCATAATTATTTCTCAATTAATTTATTAAATAATAAACATCTTTTAATCTGTCTCGTGCATTTTGTAGATTCATATCTTGTTGTTGTAACATTTTTGAAACACCATGAAGTGGTCGTAATATGTTTTCCCAAACACTCAACATCAACACAAATTGAAAAGATTCCATTTTTTTTGGTAAAGATTGAGCTTCACTTCGTTCGTCAGACTTCTTACTGATTAAACTTATGTTAATCAATGACTTAAGTACATCAATATATCGTTGTTTAAGAGCTGAGACTGATTCGTGTCTGGCTTCCCACCGAGTTGGACATATTTTTTTCAATACTTTCTTTCTAATTTTGCAAGCAAAGTCTTCACTGAAACCTAACGTGGCCCACCGATGAGCGCTAGAACTAAAAAAGTTAAAAATAGCTTGAATAGTGGCAAAGAAATTATTTGCTACTTGAGTGCTTTTGGCTGCATCAGAAATAACCAAATTCAAATTATGTGCGCAGCAATGAACAAATGGTGCATTTGGTGCCACTGACATGATGCGTTTTTGGACTCCACTATTACTGCCACTCATAACCGATGCACCATCGTATCCTTGTCCACGACAGTTTTTCACGTTTAGATCATAAGATTCTAAAATACTATACAACAGATTTTCATAGTCAGCAGCACCATGTTTTTTTATTCAAAAAAACCTAAAAAAGATTCTTTTATTTCAATAGATTTTTTATGGTTATCAATCACAACATAACGTAATACAACACTTAATTGATCTTTTTTTGTAAAGTCTAAAGTAGAATCCATTATAATAGAAAACAATTTTGAATCTTTTATTTCTTTACATAATAAACGACGAAGTTCAACAGCTAATAAATCTATAATTTCGTTTTGAATTTTCCAACTCAAATATTTTGTTTTTAGACTCATTATTTAACAATTCATATAAAATTGGATCAAATTCAGACATCAGTTTGACAGTTCTTATAAAATTACCTTCACTATTGGATTTATTTTTTCCACTACCTTCGTTTCCCCTGAGTGCTGTATTACCTTCAGTCAAGTACATAATTATTTTGATTATTCGGGTTAGTACATTTTTCCAAAAATCTGCTTCTTTGGAAATTTGTTCTTCCGTATGTCTATTTATAGTTTTATTCTCTGACCAATGAAGTCGAACACTACTGGCATAAATATGTGTTTGGGATTTTTCATGATCATTAATTTTGTCGTTCATGTGATGCCAGTCATTTATCCCTACAATCCAATTGTTTTTGAATCCTTTTTGGTTTCTATTTGCAAACAACCAACACGTCTCACAATACACACGGTTTAATAAAATGGAATAACAAAGCCATAATCGAGGAATTTGTAAACCTGATTTTGTTGTCATATTGTAATATATGGCTGAAAATTTTCTTAAAAATCCACTACCATCTGGTGAGTAAGGAAAGTTAATAATAGGTCTGCATGGACCATAACTCATTATACTGTATTTCATATCACTGCTTATAATATCTTCAAAATGTCCACGGTCAGTAGGATATTCAGTTGAAAAATCTAATCCTAAAAAATTATTAGTTTATTTATCATATTCTGAGGATAGTGGATTTGTATCTAAATGCATATTTTTATAAGTGTATCAAAATGTTCTATAATTTTCATATTATATGTTTTTCTACAATATTATTTACTGATGTAAAATTTTTCTTTCCAAAACAATCATAAATACCTTGTGTTAGCTTATTTGAAGGTGGATCTTCTTCATTGCACAGTTCTAATACATTTGTATTTGAAGTAACAGTTTCACAAACCAATGGTTGAATTAATGACAAAGAGTTTAAATTATGGAGCTTTATGGATTTTTCAACTATAAAATAAATTTAACATTTAATATTTAAATATTTATACATTAAATATTAAATACAATATAATTATTGAATATTATATTAAATAAAAATATAAATAAATAAAATATAAATATTTTGAGAATATGAAAAATAGCAATAACTATCTCATGGTGACCATCAATAATTATGTATTTCTTACTAACCTATGATATCAATTTCTATACTAATTATAGTTTATTAAATACAGCCATATAATTACGTTGACTCAATTTGGTATGAACTATCTTCGAATTCTACAGATTTTGAAATAATAGTTTCAGAAACTGGAGATTGAATAAATGACAAAATACTTCTATTCCCTTTAATAGATTTTTCTTTCTGTTTCAACATTTTTCTTGCTCCACCGGACAATCTAATTTTTTTCAACGGTTGTTGTGAAGATTCCATTATTATTATTATTATTATTAATGTACAAGTGTACAAAATACAATAATAATGAAGAACAGAAGTCAAACTAGCCACTAAGTAAATAACTAATAACTAATAAGTTATATAAGTACTCGCACAGTCGCACCTCGCACTGCTCGCTGTACGCAAATGCCAAATAAAGAACGCGATGATTTTGTTTAATACTATTCTGAGTGTTCCTACAACGCTAGCCACACTTGCAGTCGTAATATTATTCATTTATAGTATTTATTTATTCTTTATAGTATTTATTCTTTACTCCTTGATTTATACACAATATGAATAGTTCTTATATAGTTATATAGGATTATCAGCTCGTGGCATACTGGCGTGTCACAGTCAAAACAAACAAATCGCTAGATAGGCCGTCGTGGTGACGTAAATAGCGGGATTCCCGTTAAAATTCCAACAAACGATAATAATAAATCAATGCCGGACTATAATTTTCAGTCATCAATATTTTGATAATTACTGTAATAGTACAAACATTTTTAAAATTAATTTTATCTTACACAGTGACAGTATACACAGTTGACACAAATTCTCACAATATAGTAGGTATTGAATCAGGATGAATAGGGGCCACAAAATAGGAATGGAGGCCGTTCCCTGGGGCATTGCCCCGGCTGCCCGGGTGGATGTTGCGGCACTGCCCGGATAACATAGATGGGTGACCTGCTAGTCACCAAATAATCAGACGGTGGCTATATGATTTGCATGGACGCCCGAAATATTTTGAATTTTCTTCACGTAATTTATTCTTTAATTTTGCGTTTTCGGTAACAGTAATGAACGTCGTCCGCGATTCGACGCAGTCGGATTGCATACGTGATGAGCCATCGAATATTGTCAGGTTGCCTTCCAGGGTGACTACGACCAAAGTCGAGGAACGTGACTGACTTGCTAGACCCCAAATACTATTACTACGGCGAACGTCATTCGAGGTGACTGACCTGCTAGACACCCACAAAAATACAACGACTATATTATTTTTTATATTACATTTTACTATATTAGATTTTCGTAATCGTGTGTAGGTTCTGCGTTATGATTCATATCCTATGTGCAGTAACGTCGAGGAAGGCGACTGACCTGGTAGACACCCCAACAAAAAGGCGGCTATAAAACTCGGCCGTCGCACAAAGTCGGATAGCCTACCCGTATTACTACGACGAACGTTATTCGAGGTGACTGACCTGCTAGACACCCACAAAAATACAAAGAATTTTTTTACGAAATTTCGAATTTCCGGAGGGGCTTGTCGAAAAGACTCCAGATGGCCTGCCCGAGCTACCACGTCGAACCGCAATGGTCCTAGCCTTATCACACATCCTTATCACCATACCTCCTCTTCACCGATATACCGTGTCGGCTCAAGACCGCACATCCGCACCACGAGACCACCGCAGCTTCCGAAATCGACAACACTCGGGGCCCGCTCATGGGGGTCTGGGGTCCAAGCGACGCTCGGAGAGCTAGTTTTTCTATAATTCTATACACATAATATAATTGATATTTTAAATTACAATGAATATAATGTATAAAGTTATAGTCTTATAGAATATTGTATCTGTTCAATTATTTTACCAGTAAATATATATTTTAGAATATTAACCAGAAATGGGCAGAGTATCACCTAGTCATCATTGAGTGTATATTTAAACAGGTATATAACTTCATTATACATAGAAAAAAATATCTTTATTTGCTTTTCATTGAATAACGCAGTGTTCTTGACTCTTACGTAGGTACTTTAAATTTTTTTAAATAATGTTGAATATAATTAATGTATAATCCAATATTAGGTAAAATGTTCTAATAAATGATTAAGACAGTGGCATCATTTCAGTTTTTATTAGACTAGGGAAACTTTTTACTGCTTATCTGACTCAACATTTTTTTCCCTCGGATTCTCATAGTATAGTGCCATAGCAGTTAAGGGTTGGTGGCGGGGGAGGGGTGGTAAATGTGCTGACTTAAGGTTGATGTAAATACTAGACTGAGGTGATAAGGATTATAGCTAGTCTTATAATGAGTATGGTGGCGCTCCCGTGGCAGAATTTTGAACCACGTATAGTGAAATCGTAGAGGAAAAAATTTAAACTCGCTTCTTCCACGACTTTTCCGCGTTATCTCCGACTCCTTATCGCTTTGTATAGTGACTCCGTGAACGAGCGTCTCGAGAACAAAATTGCGCCACCAATCAGAATCGTTCATATTTGTTATCACTATTTGTGAAAATCACGTTTCTTATCATCCTTTATAAAAATTATAATGTGATAATATAATAATCATCAATCATACAGGTTTATGATGGGTATTGGGTACTTTCAATTCTATTAGTGAACTAATTCATGTGATTCAGCTCATTAAAATGTCATTGAATCACTGAATCAATTCATTATATTTACATTTTATAATTGTGACTAATATTTTAAACCTAAGGGCTAATAATTATTTATATATAATTTATATCTTTATATATATAATTCTACTGTACGAGTGTTTGTAAGTTGAGTGGGCCTTTGAATGGTTTAGATTCACAATCGGACCCGGTAAACCACCCTGATCCATGCACATTATTATCAATTCTCCATTATCACTACAACAAAACATTTTTCGAATGATGATCTTATCATTTCCTCTTATCATTTTACTATATTTTCTGGATTATGTACAAAAAATAATTATTATTGTTGAGTTACCGTTGAGTACTGTTTTATATAATTATTAACTTTTTTTGGGCAATATGGATAAAAAAACAAAACCAAAGGGTGAAAACTGTTGCCATAGTTGTGACAAAAATTTTCCTAGACCACAATACTACGCAGACATATCGACAAGATACATAAAACACTTGGAACTTGTTCAGAGTAAGTTATTTACAAAAAACTAGGAAACCATCTCGAACATTGAGTAAAATGCCTACTGGTGGGGGTAATTCGTAAATATGAATTCAAGTACAATTAACCAAAAATTTGTTTCTTTTAGTGATGAACAAGTTCCTTGTTTAGTTGTAAGTGGATACAAGTTACACTAACATTTTGTATCTAATTAATTGTTAAACGTGACTGACACCTGTTAGACACCCACAAAAATACAACGACTATATTATTTTTTTACGAAATTTCGAATTTCCGGCGGCGTTGTCGAAAAGACTCTGTCCGGTACGCGACGACCCGGTCGTCCGGATGGCCTGCTCCGGGCGACCACGTCGAACCGCAGTGGTCCTAGCCTTATCACACATCCTTATCAGCAT